AGCCAACTCATGACAAATAGCTAGCATATTATAAATTTACATTTAGACTTTGTCTCTTGGTTTTGGCCTCCAACTACTTTGCTTTCGCGTCGAGATTGTCTCCTTCGAAGCTTTAACTTGTTGTGAATTCTAAGCGTCGCGCAATGAGACAACACAAAGCGAACGAAACGAAGTTCACTTTCTTTTCGTTTTACCCTGGGAAAGTCTTTGGGCTTGTCTTTGCACTAATTATTAGTTTTCATTTGGTAAATGATCTTTCGCTTGCAAGTTTAGCCACAATTCAAAAGTGAATACCATCTCAAACTGTGCTCTGTTTGCTTGACTGCAGTTGTTAGGGGTTAATCCATCCAGAATTTTCAGACGCCAAGCAGTCCCACTTTTCGACTAACAGCTGCATTTTCAGGCATTATTTCGGATCGATCCCATGCAAGAATTTTAGCGGCCATTTGCGAGGCATTTTAGGGTCGAAGCGAGGGGCGCTTGTTTTACTACTCTATGCTGATATTATAGTAGCTGTCGCTGTGCTGGCCTTTTATTTTTAAGTAATAAAATTTAATACATGGCTACATAGTCGCTTTACACACACTCACACACACTCACACACACACACGCGCACACACGCGCTCACATTTATATGTATACGCACATTTTACTCAATTATAAAAGTTTCCACATTAAAAGTTCATTGCTGAGGCAGGCGAAGCGTGAGACGGCGCCGCTGATGGTCGAAGAATCTTTTGGGTGGGGTTCACCATGTTGGGTTAGGTCGTGCCCGGCGGCTGTAACGACTACGTAGATGCCCTCCTGCTCCTGCTCCTCCTGCTCCTCCTCCTCCAGTGCAGGGCGACAACATCAAAGACATAGTCAAAGCCAAATGTCTGGCCGTAAAAGTTGTTTTTTCCACTCTCTCCCTCTCTCTCTCTCTCTCTCTCTCTCTCTCGCTCTCTCTCTCTTTTGTGGCCGACACAGGAAAAATTAAAAATGCTGTAGTTGGTATAACAGCAGCAGCAGTAGCTGCAACAGCAGCAGTCAAATTACTCTATTGAGGTGCTAGCTGCCGCCCCTCCCCTTCCTACCCCACCCCTCTTGCCAATGTGCTAATCCAATGGTAATGTTATGTTATGCTCCAGGAATGTGCCATAAAGTTTCTAGCAAAAAAAACATATACATATATATATATAATAAAATAAAATAACATACAAACCAACTGAGTGCCACTTCATGTGTTGTGAAAGTAGTTAAAATATAATAAAAAAAACAAGTTAGAGGCTCCAGTCGGGAGTTCCCGACTAGGGGATACCCTGAAAACTCTTCTACCAACAACAAATTAATTAGCAAAAAATAGAAATAGTTTCCTCGCAATTCTATTCTATACTATTCTAGAAGCTACATGTCAAGTTTGGTGAGTCGAGCTCTTAGAACTTACGAGATTTGCTCAAAATACAGGATTTCGATATCGATTTTTATCGATTGCATGGAAACGAGGGAACTTAACGATTATCGAAAACAAACTCGTACTGCGCGGGCACTAGGAGGACCTACATTCCAAATTTCATGTCTCTAGCTCTTAAAGGTTCTGAGATCCTTGCGTTCATACATACGGATAGACGGACGGAAGGACAGACAGACGGACATGGCTAGATCGACTCGGCTATTGATGCTGATCAAGAATATATATACTTATATATTCTGCCTGTTATATACATTTGCACAAATACATTTTAAAAATCATCAAAAAGATTGGCATTATTCCAGAGTTGATTTTTTGTCAAAACCTTTGATGTAAGCCCCCTAATTAGATTCCATTGATAGCCAATCTATAGTAGGGGTCCGTACATATACAAAAATGTATAACATTCCAAAATCAGACGTTATTTATGCGAGACATTCAAAAAAAAATCGTCAAAAAAGTTTTGATTTTCGAACCGACCCCGATATTGAGGAAGAACGTGATGTAACCCCTTTCCATTTTGTATTTTGGGTCAAAATTTAGATTTTTCGTTTTTTGATGCCAATCGATAGCAATGGGCCGTACGAGTCGAAAATTGTATATAACTTAAATATCGGACATTATTTGGCCGAGATATTCAAAAAAAAAAAATCATCAAACATATTGACATTATTCCAGAGCCCTAATTAGATTCTATTGATAGCCAATCGATAGTAGGGAACCGTACAAATACAAAAAGGTATAAATTGTTGCATTGGGGAGACTCTAGGGTTACCGAAACGATACATCGATACATCTGTGAGGGCCCTAAGCACCTAAGAGCGCCCCAAATTTCGCAGGGGTGGCAACGCCTAGCACAGGATCCACTGCCTTGAGCGAAAATAAGGTGCAAGCGCGATGTATGGGTAGGCAAATTTGGGCATAGCTCAATTTTGAGAGACGGTGCAATACAGTCGGGCTCTGCGCAAATGCACCAGTTGCAGTTTTCTTTTTTGTTCCGGCCAACCAAAAATGAAAATAAACCGAAAACCATATTTGTCAAGACACATGTAAAACGTTTAATAATGATAATATATTTAGCAATAAATATATACTGGCTTATACCTATATGAAATGGCGCCCGTCTAAATCAGTTGTGCCGAGGTGCATAAATTTAAAACTTAAATATGAAATCGAAAAGTTGTGAACACTCGAGAACGATAATAAATAATTAAAGCTAAACAAAACTAAACTAAGTGATTCCGGCACAAAAGGGAGCCAAACTCGCTAGCCCGTCCGCCGTGGCCGGCCTATTCTCATCGATCTAATCGAGAAGGATCCGTCCCAGAGTGCACGTCGACGACTATCGGCGTCGTTTTGTCCCGTCGCTGACACCGAAAGTGTACCAGGAGGCGAACGGCAATGGGCGAGACCACGCCCACATCAGCCGAGCGAGTCCGTTCCACAGAGCCGCCCATCCTCGCCACGAGCAACAAACAGAGTCGGAAGCAGACTTATATTTGAGCCCCCTAATAAGAAAAATTTAGATAATTAGATTTCGTTTATTTTCCTTACTCTTGTATTTAAATCTATTAACTTTTTAGAAAAAACTTCGTTAATCGCCGACAGTGATAGAAAGGCCCAAAAGGTTTAGCACCTGCCAAATAGAAAAATTGATTTTTGTTGACACATGCACGAACAATGCCCCCATTATTAGATTAAATTGATTGCCAATTGATAGTACGGATCCCTACGAACACATAAATGTATAACTTTCCAAAATCAGACGACATTTACCCGAGATATTCAAAAAAGAATCATCAAAAAAGTTTTGATTTTCGAACCGACCCCGATTTTGAGGAAATACGTGATTCCATTTCCATTTTGTTGATTTGGATCAAAATTTAGATTTTCAATTTTTTGATGCCAATCGATAGTACTGATCCTTACGAGTCCAAAATGGTATAAAATTCCAAAATCTGACATTATTTGGCTGAGATATTCCAAAAAAAATATCAAAAAAGGTTGACTTTACAAACGAATCGGTTTTTGGTCAAAAACATTTTTCAACCCCTCAACTTTTAAATTATTTAAATGCCAATCGATAGTAGGGATCCGTATGAATGCAAAAAGGTATAATTTTGTCAAAATCAGACGATATTTACCCGAGATATTCAAAATAAAACATCAAAAGTTTTGATTTTCGAACCGACCCCGATTTTGAGGAAAAACGTGATGTAACCCCTTGCCATTTTGTTGATTTCGGTCAAAATTTAGATTTCCAGTTTTTTGATGACAATCGATAGTACTGATCCTTACAAGTCCAAAATGGTATAAAATTCCAAAATCTGACATTATTTGGCTTAGATATTCCAAAAAAACATCAAAAAAGGTTGACTTTACAAACGAATCGGTTTTTGGTCAACAACTTTTTTCAACCCCTCGATTTTTGAATTATTTAAATGCCAATCGATAGTAGGGATTCGTATGAATTCAAAAAGGTATAATTTGTCAAAATCAGACGATATTTACCCGAGATATTCAAAATAAATCATCAAAAGTTTTGATTTTCGAACCGACCCCGATTTTGAGGAAATACGTGATTCCATTTCCATTTTGTTGATTTGGATCAAAATTTAGATTTTCAGTTTTTTGATGCCAATCGATAGTACTGATCCTTACGAGTCCAAAATGGTATAAAATTCCAAAATCTGACATTATTTGGCTTAGATATTCCAAAAAAACATCAAAAAAGGTTGACTTTACAAACGAATCGGTTTTTGGTCAACAACTTTTTTCAACCCCTCGATTTTAAAATTATTTAAATGCCAATCGATAGTAGGGATCCGTATGAATTCAAAAAGGTATAATATGTCTACATCAGACGATATTTACCCGAGATATTCAAAATAAATCATCAAAAAAGTTTTGATATTCGAACCGACCCCGATTTTGAGGAAATACGTGATTCCATTTCCATTTTGTTGATTTCGGTCAAAATTTAGATTTCCAGTTTTTTGATGACAATCGATAGTACTGATCCTTACGAGTCCAAAATGGTATAAAATTCCAAAATCTGACATTATTTGGCTGAGATATTCCAAAAAAAATATCAAAAAAGGTTGACTTTACAAACGAATCGGTTTTTGGTCAACAACTTTTTTCTACCCCTCGATTTTTTGCCGATATAAATGCCAATTGATAGTAGGGATCCGTATGAATTCAAAATGGTATAATATGTCTACATCAGACGATATTTACCCGAGATATTCAAAATAAATCATCAAAAAAGGGTTTTCTAAAATTTCTATCTGTTATAATTATTTGTTCACATCGTTAAGACAATTAATAGGTAGCTGTTATACTTTCATGTGCTGTTGTGCTGCTTTATGGTCATGCTGCGATACTGTTGCATAATCATACTGTTATGCTGCCCTACTGTTATACTGATATAATATATTACTGTAATACTAGCATTATGCTATGCTGTTATACTGGTACACTGTTATACTATTATACTATTATACTGTTATACTGTTATACTCACACACACCATTCTCTTGCATTGCAGGCTACGGCGGCATTTCGCCTCGCACCCAGTGGGGCCGCGTAGCCGCCCTCGTCTACGCCCTGTTCGGCATACCCATCGTGCTGCTCTACCTGTCCGCGATGGGCGAGGCACTGTCCGCCGGCATGCGCTGCCTGTTTCGGCGTCAACGTGCCAAGGGCAGCGTTGCCAGCGGCAGCGGCCCCACAGCCGGACCCAGCGGCAATCGCAAATCGGACAAGGCCAAGGGCCAGCAATACGGTCATTCGGCGGCCAAGCTGCACCAATACGGCCTCCCACCCTCGGTATATCAGCAGCAGCAGCAGCAGCAACAACAGCAACAACAGCAACAGCAGCAACAACAGCAACAACAGCAGCAGCAGGGCAGAAATTCCGCTTCAGATGGCGGCGGACGCGGCTCCCCCAGTGTGCCCATCTCGATCTGTGTGTGCGTCCTTGTCTGCTATGTGACCAGCGGTGCGATACTCTTCCATAAGCTGCAGAGCTGGAGCGTGCTGGAGTCGCTATACTTCTGCTTCACCTCGCTGGGCACCATCGGCTTTGGGGAGCTGGCACCCAGCGGCACCTTGACCCTGTACACGGCCTCGGCCTATATACTGGTGGGCATGGCCGTGGTGGCCATGTGCTTCAGCCTGATCCAGACGGAGATTGTTATGTGGCTGCGCCGTTTCAGCGTTCAGGATCATGTCACGCCCAAGGCCGAGGAGCTAGCCCTCGTCTCGGTGGCTGTGACGCCCAAGCCCTCCTGACAACGACCCAGCGCTGAATTAATGGGCACTGGAGCTGGCACGGCTGGCGGCCAGGCGGCGAACAATCTGGGCCAGCATCAGACCATGTTCTTTGGACCGGCGCACACACTGACCCAGTACAGCTCGCTGCCACGTCGCAGTCACATGCATGGACTCGGAGGTATGGGCGGTGGCCATGGCGGGGGCGGAATGGGCCCCTCATCATCGGCCTTTCAGCGCAACACGCCCATAAGACGCTCCACAGGCATACCGGAGCACCACATGGAGTACTTTGTGCCGCGCAGCATTAGCGAATTTAATCTATCCGGCGTTGGCGACTTGGCGCTGCCTCCGCCCCGCCGCTTCTCGCCGAACAATATACACGGCATGGGCCTGCCCATGGGCGTTGGCGTCAACATGGGCCTCAACATGGGCATGGGCATGGGCATGGGCATGGGCATGGGCATGGGCATGCCGCACGGCCTACAGCTGGGACCGCCGCAGACGCTGCTCTGTGCCGCTGCCGCAGGCGGCGCCACGACATCAGCAGCGCCCCCACCGCCACCACCCGCCCAGCTGCAGATCATGACACTGAAGCCGCGCAGCGAGAAAATGGTCACATTCGAGGATGAGTCGAAGTCTGCCGCCGCCGCCGCCGCTGCCGCCGCTGCTGCAGCTGCAGCCACACACTGTCCGCACGGTGTGCCGACCACGCCGCGCAAGTCGAGCGGCGCCACCACGTCGGACATGTTCATGTGACCAACTAGCTGACCAGCGGCCGGCACAGAGGACGCCGAGCTGAACGCAGCGCTGCGACTGCGCGACAGCATCGAGAACGAGCTCTGCCCCAAGCAGGCGCCGGGCGAGGTAATCCGCGTCTAAGTTCTCCCCATACAGTTGAGTTTTGGTCGACTAACTGGCTCACACTCACACTGTAAGTATTATATATGCACACCAAAAGGGCGTGGCTAGTGGGCGTTCGCTGCAAATTGGCAGCCAGTGCGTGCTAATTAGCTGAGCTGAGCTGAGCTGAGCTGAGCTGAGCAGGTGACAGGTGTTGTCGCCCAGCACGCTTTGAGGGTGTTATGCGAATGATGTAAGTTAAGCAAATATTTATAAAATATGCGTGTAAACAGCAAAAACTAAAAATAAAAATACAAAGAAAATACCATAAATAAAATATTGAGTGTGCTCTAGTCGACAGTGACCGACTAGATGGATACCCTGTACCCGATACCAAGATGTTGTGACAAAAACTCGAATTTCCTTTCTTGCAAATATACACCAAAAGACACGTACATAACACACACACACACGCACACACACGCACACACACACACACGCATACTGGCATACACGCTGCAAGTGCAGCGCTAGCTATTAAAGCTTAGATTTATGCAATTCTGGAGAAAACGGAGAAACTTATCAAAAAAAATATAAATATTCGAAATCTGTAACAATAAGCGAGAGTCTAAATACCAAAATCATCTAATTTTCGATATATGCTTAGAAAACTGAGCTGAAAATCGAGATTTATCGAGTTATTTATCCAAATTTCTAGTCCAGTCTCTAGCTCGAATAGTGTCTGAGATTGAGGCGGTTCTTGATGCTAATCATGAATATATGTATATACTATATATACTTGATGGGGTCGAAGAAGCGTGCTTCTGCCTGTTACATGCATGCGCACTAGACTATTATAGCCACTTTATTCCATATTCAAAGGGTGCAGGGTATAAATATATATATACTTATAAGCATATATAAAGAAACCAAAAATAATCAAATTTAATGCCTGTTGTAAATACACTTATGTAGAGGATAACCATAGCAAAAACAAAAGAAATACTTAAAACATATATTAAAATCTGTGTGGCGAAGGCAAAAACAACAACAAAAACAAAACTTAAATTTAAATTCAAAATGCAAAATGCATAAAAAAGGCAGACAAAAAAAAAGAAAAAAAGTAAGTGAAAAAAGTAAGTGAAACAGAAATTAATTAATGTGTGCAACATTCAACTTAAACGATGAATAATAAATAACTGCACAATCCGAAAATGCACTTGCAATGGGATTGTGCAGGGGTTGGGTTGGTGGCAACATGACAAATTGTATGCAATACCCGAAAAGGATAAAGTTTAGTTAAGCGATTTGTTAGTTGGCTTGTTTTTTTGTTTAGTTTAACTAGTTGTTGTCAAATTGTGTTGTTGTTTCTCTTGCGTTCTGTTTAATCCACGCATTTAATTGCGGCTTGGGCGCCTTTGTTGCAGCATTAGCATTCGCGTGTGACACTTGTTGTATGACAGTTTTCGTATAACACTCTTCATATGACAGTTTAACTGTTGTACAAACATTGCCAGTGAGTTGAGCGCGACATTTTCTAGCAAAACATATGTATATCTTGTGAAATCGGTGTATAACAGTTTGGGCAACAAATATAACAGTTTCGACTGTATAACAGTTTTGATCAATTAAGCATATTGCAGTCTGAAGTCGAACGGACACTTCACAAATCCAATATACTCCCTTTACCCTTGTATAACAGTTGTTGTACTACTTACGGGGCGAGAGCGTTAAACAGTAGCACAATTTTTAAAATAAATGTAAAGTGGGCTATGCACGAACTGGCAAGCGTTTAAAAGTTGATGGCATTTTTTTTTGTTGTTCTTGTTTAACATGTTTTGTAATTAAGCAAACGAATTAACAAAATTGCAGCTAATTCCGAACTAAGCCCATTACGAATTGGGCAAAACAGCAAAAGTGCCATCAATTACCTTCCGACATGTACATAAATGTAGTTAAAATGCTCCGAATAACATTTAATTTCAACTTTCCATACTCGCCCACAATGTGAAAGCGCGTATATCGGGCTACTCTGCAGTTTTAAGGCTGATGTCAGCAAAATACGCTCCCTTTGGGATTGATCCAAAAATGAGCCCATTCGGAAAAGAAAACCATATTTTGTAGCCAGTTATTGGGCCGTGTGGACGGGCATAACGCAGTCAGTAGCATCCGTCTGCAATATGCTTAGTTGACTTTTGTTTGTTGTTGCTTAATTTTAATCTATTTTTCGTTGGTGTCATTGTTGTATTAATGCTGTACAGCAATTAGGTTTAAATGCCATTTAAATGCATTTTGATTGTAGGCAATTGAACGGCTCCGACTGTCAGTTATATCTTTGGCGGAGCGAGGAGAGCGAGAGGGGACCACTGACAACCGAGTGGGACACTTGATTTTTTTGTATTTTAATTGAAAATAAATTACATTTTTAGTACTCAAGCGCAGTTCATTTGTGTGTTAATTTTTTGCCATATTCAATTTGTGGCTTTAAATTCAAATAATCGAATAGATGCAAAAAGGGTTGCGAGATGAAACACACAAAAAACAGAAAAAAAAAAAACGACGCTTTAAATTTATGGGTTGTGGCACAAATGAACGACAAATGAAAAACCAAAAAAAAAATATATATATAAAAAAAGGTATTATAGAGTGCCAAAAAAAACAGAGATTAAATTAAAAGTAAAAAAAACAAAGAAAAAAGAAGAGAAACGCATGGTTGCATTTATTTTGTAATATTGCAATTGTGTCATACTGTCACACTGTCATACTGTCATACTCACTTACGAGCCTAATAACGAAACAAAGCAAACCAAATATTTAGCATAAGTTCATGTAATTACATTTAAGCCCCACTTCAAATCACACTCTTTAATACTACATATATCAGCAAGAGCAAAAACAAAAAAACAACAAAAAAAATTAACAAAAAAATATACAAAATGAAATAAATAATTACTAACACAAAGAAATAGAGTAAAGTAAACGTCTAATTTAGTGGAAAAAAAAAAGAAGAGAAATCAAACTAATTAATTGAGATACGAATTGTTTTTTTTTTTTCGTGTCGATTTCTAGCTTCGTAAGTTGAACTCTAGTCGTTAGGTCAGCAGCAGCAGCAAAATATAGTATATGTACTTAATTTTAGTCAACCCATACGAGTAAATGTTAATTAACACACCAACACACACCAACACAGACACACAAACACACACACACATCTATATTGTAACAGACTATGTAATACGGATCGCGATATGCTCGACATATACGCATCGATATGTATTTATATATGAATATGAATGTATGTCAGTTTTTTTTTTTGTGTGTGTATTACAACAATAAAAACTAATTGAATGTAAAACCAAATGCAAAGCAACAAAAATATCGCAGTTCGCATAGATATATACATACATATATATATGTATATGTGTGTGTATATATAATATATATCTATATAAACACACACACATATATATATATATATAGCATTAATATATATATATGTATAGGGGGATATATATATATACATACATATACTATATATATACAAATAAATACATCGTGAAAATTTAGTCAAACATCCGAAATTGAAATTGTGTTTCATTTCCAATTGGCGTGCTTGTGGCTTTTGGAACCAATTAGATATGTATATGTATTTGCACATTTATCAAATATATTTACGTTTTTATGTTGATGGATATTTTCGGATTTTCAGCCCATTTGGTGACCGGCGCGAAGTACTCATATAACACATTCATATTGGTAAATCAATTGATTTGAATAGAGTTGTATCTGAAAGCGAAATGAAAAACTGGGTGTCGCTCAGCAACAAATGAAACAAATGCATTTGTAAATACTAAGCACTCGTTGTTGTTCAATAAGACTGCCAAGACATAGAAGCTTCTGAAACATCTTCTGAAAGTACATTGAAAGAAGGCGCGAGGTTTGAATTGTGGACTAAATAAAGCTGGCAAGTATTTCAAGCTCATATCCTTCGCAAGCTCAAAACATTTGTTGAACTCATTTCACAGTTTCTGTTTTGCAACAAATGAGTTGAGCTTTCGAAAGTACTTGCAAGTTGTTGCTGGGCAATGAATGCATTTGCCACGAATCGAATGCTGATAAGCAAATTAGCATATCGGCCCTTTAGAGACACATTAAATGCGCATGGACGGCTATCAATATAAATTTGATTACGTTATAATTCGATGCATAAAACAGCCTGTTCTTGATATATTCGTATCAATCGGCATAAAATCAATTGCCGCTTTAAATAAACATATATATATTAATCTGAAAGCATAAAAATTAACCCCCTACGTTATATATACATATATATATATATATATATATATATATTCTTGTCTCGCTTGCCCTTTGCATTTTTATCTTATCATTTATTTGTGAGTAATTTATAACAAACAATTTACATTTAATTTATTAAAAGTATTTTTCCAGCGTTTTTTACATTACATTTTTTTTTGTGTATATATATATTTTTATATTTTTATTGGCAATTTTATGACATTTTTCAGCAGACCTTTTTTTTTGTTTCTGGCAGGTTGCTGGGTCTAGGAGAAAAGTTTGTATGTGTGTGTGTGTGTGTGGTTGTGTGTGTGTGTGGTGGAGGGGTTGCGTGCTGCGGCAGGGCTAGAGAAGAGCAATTTAATTTACTTCTAATAAATATGCTCGCTCTGGTGTATGTGTGTGTGTTTTGCGAGGGCAAAAACCAATAAGAATTTTTTGTTTTGCCAAATGATATCAGTTGAATGGCTGACAGGGCATTAGCCAAACAAATGTGTCGAAATTCTCGCAGGTCTATTTGTAGCTGCAACAAATGAAGTAAATATTTTCAAATGTATTTCAATATATTATGCCAGCATTTGCCTGCACCTCCATGCAATCCCGTGCTTATTTGGCCACAATCCTCTTCTACATATTGCATATAACAAATTGATGAAATAATCCAAAAATGTCGGGATCAAATTTATTTACGGCCCTCTAAATGCCACGAGAATTGCCTTCTATGCTTTCATTGTAATGATATAAACAAATTGTTAAATCTGACAATTGCTGCTAAAGTTGCACCAGCGACTTCTCGCTTGTTAGTCCGACGCACACGTTTGCAAAGCTTAATTATATAGCTGCCCCATTGTTTGTGTTTCCAAAATCAAACTGCGACCCCGCCTGTGCCCAAAACCCCATCAAAGTG